ACCAGCACCTCCTGTGTTCAGTGAGGTAAAATTACTGTTTATGTGAATGGAGTCTGGCTTTGAAGAAAGATTAGGTAAGTTTTACTTTTAGTTCAGTTTCTCTGTTGGGGAGTACTGAGCATCCAAATGGATAAATGAGACTTGGATTATACTGCATGAGCTGTGTGAGAGTTGTAAATAGATGTTTTGATATCATTTTGCAGCTGCTAAACACAGACTTGCTACACAGAATTTCTCCGTTTTTGGATTTCTTGTTCGCCGGAGGCCTACAAGAAAAACCTTCATGAATTCAATATAACACAGTCTGAGTAACTGATGTACAAATGGTCACTTGGGGGTGAAGTATTCCTTTAAGGAAAAAATGTGCTTGGGTGGCTAACTGTTCAATACAACTATTGAAGAGATTGTCTGAGCCTGCAGTTGACCTTTTCAGCTGTGCATACCCTCGAAAAAGGGCCCCTTTGACTTTGGGGCACAGTTACCTATTATCATAAACACAACTTGATTTCTGCTTGAAGGAATGGTTTGACATTTTGGCAAATGTAGTTACTCATGTTCCTGTAGAGAGTGAGGTGAAATGATCAGTAGCATTTGGCATTAGCATTAGCATTATATTGGAGAGAACACAGACATCTCTACGGCTGATATCTCCAACACTCTGCAACTCACACCAAAACAATCTAGACTAACAAAATAGCACTACAGGTAAGAGGGAAATGTATGTATTTTTGATTCTGGGGTGAACTGTCCCTTTAAAATTCACTAACTGTTACCTCTAGAGCTCACTAATTAACATGTTACGTCTGAATAAAAACTGAACTGTAGAAATAACAAGTTGTGGTTTGGGGGGTTTTATGATTTGGACTGTTTCTGGGCTTAACAGCAGCTGGGCGCAGTGACATATGATGTTTGAATTAAACAAACAAGATATAAAATGTTAATTGGGGAGCTTTAGAGGTGCTTGTCATTATGCTAACGTAAGTTACCCGCCTGCTGGCTCTAGCCTCACATTTACCGAAATGAGAGTGGTATCAATCATCCGACTGTACTCTTGGCAAAGACGAAAATGAGCACATTTTCCAAAATGTCAAACTTTTAGGGTAGAAATCCAACCCTAGTCTGTGTGTTTTGATTACCCTTCTAGTTTTTGCACTAAGCTAACTGCCCGCTGGCTGTAGCTTACTGTAAAAACACTAGAGTGGCATCAATCTTCTCAAAACTCTCAACAAAAAAGTTAATTTCCAAATGTCAAACTGGTCCTTCATAATTGTTTCTTCAAAATCAGAAATAACACAGACACAAACTAATAGAAGTCTGATGGTTATCATGTGTAAATGTATTCATGTGCTTTGTTTGACAGTGAAACAAAAAGAACAGACAGTGAAAAAGAGTCACATAGGTTGAGAGCCAGACTTGAACTGGTGACTTGCCCTCGCCCAGTCATCCACAGTAATGTGTCACCACATAAAACAAGATGTCTTTGAGATGTATTCATGCGTCTCCTCACAGCTTTTTTCACGCCAACACACAGCCACGCACATGTAAAAGAACTCTTACTTTTAAATGAAATTATGTTTCCTTCCGTAAAGACTTAACTGCTTAAGTCCGCATGACTCACACCCACAGGATGAGTTTGGAATGTGCGTGTCATCTGAAGGGACTGTTCATTATTTATGAAGGGGGAGGAAGTGGTGCAAAACAGGGGAGGCGTGTCAAATAATTTTCTTTTTTTTGGCTTAGTGGCGGGACTTACAACTTCAAATGGTTGTATTCTATATTTACTTTTATACCATCTGAACCCTAAAACCCACTGTCGGGTTTGAACAAAATGTTTTCTTTAAAAAAGGCAAAAATTACACCATTAATCACAGCCAGAAACAATGAAAATAGCAATTATAATTGGATTTTCAAATTGCTGACAGTCCTTGAACACATCATATGAGACAGATGCTTCTATTGGGAAACATAACAGCCTGTTCTTACTCCAAAACTAGGCTATTTCTGAAGCAAACAAACAACGGACTTTCACCCGGGAAGCTGCTGTTTGTTTCCAGTGTGAAACCAAAAGTCAGTTGAGTTATCTTGATTGACAACATAGTGTGCTAATGTGTGTAGCATGCTACACTGGTGACATATGTCACATGAAGTACAACATGGTCTCACTCCAAAGTCATCCAGATCCGATGTGTAGGCAATGACTTGTGGCGTCAGACACCAACGAACAAAGCCGACCTTTAACGGTTGGCATGATATGCGGCGGGATGCTGGTATATACACAGTAAACATGTGCTAGTGTGTGTAGCATGTGACATATGTCATGTGACATTACATAATGTTAGTAACAATTGTACTCACTTTAAACCAAACCATGATGTTTTTTTGTCTTAATCTAACCACGTGCCGTTGGTGTACAAGGAAATAAATGTAAAAACGAGGTGTTCTAGCTACATTGTAAGTTTCTATGAAAAAGACTGCATGGATGTAACGAGCAGAAACTATATGGAAAAAGGAAGTGTATTTCGAAAAGATACAATGCATCCTAAACAGATGCAGGAGGGTATCTAACGCATCATATTTTGACTTTTCATGTCCACTGACAAAGCAATTGACAATTTGGGATGAGAATGTGTTGTTTATATTGCTGGTGATTTATAAGGAGGATTCATATTTTGCTTAAGAAATAAACTCTTTGTTTTGGTGATAACTCTCACTTCTGTGATGTTTGCTAATTGCATTGGCTCCAGCAACTATTTAAAAATTTATGGTTATTTATGTGGGAGGGAGGGTCATGAATTTTCCCCCAGGCACTCAAGGAAGAATATTTGTAGCTTCAAGGAGGGTTAAGATGAAAAAAAAAAAAAATGAAGTCACATGAAGTCTAATAAATAAAGAACGGTCCCTAAGAAAAACCTAATTAGGACTTGGTTAACAGTATAAATCAGCGTGGCACATGAAAGGAATTCCTTTAAATCTGAAAGAACAAGAATGTCCTCTGAAGTGACCCTCAGTGTTCTCCATTTATTGACTGTTAGTTGCGTAATATTGCTCTGCCAGCCATTGTGACTCACTGGCTTCAGCTTTTATTGCTGTTTAATTTTGAAATTACGAAGCTGTTTTTATTGGACGCTGCTTTTTAACATGTTCATAAACATGTGTCCCTGTCCAGCTGGGGTTGACCAATATTGTGGTTATGTGTTTTGTTGCTTTGTAAAAGTTTGTTAAAGAGATGGGTGTGAGGGCCACTGTGGTCAATAAGAGAAACAGAAAAATATGAGGTTCTATTTTCGGCTCAGAGACTAAACGCTCTTGGATGCAGCACTGTTGTTCAAAGCAGACTCACCAGAAAAAACCCCCCCAGCTCCCCTCTCCTCTGGGACGGTTTCCCCAGAAGGATGCCGCTTTCCTTCCATACCGGTGATTACAGAGTGCAGGCACCCGTGACTTTGTCAATGAAAGATATTTTACCAAAACATACAGTTCAAGCACTTTTGTGTGGAAAGAATGTAAATTTCTCTGTATTTAAAAGGAAGAGGGGGGGAAATAACTTGGAAATTTGGACCGGTTCCATCCCAGTTCATCCCACTCCCCTCCCTCCTCTCTCCGCTCTTTTTCTTTCTTCATCCTGTCTGGCTTTCAGCAATGTGTTTCTCGTTGTCTGTCTCATAGTCTATAACTCTCAACACGCTTGGTCGGCATATTTCTCGTGCTCGAAAACCACTCAAAACATAATTCCATCACTTTTTTTTCCCCCAACAATGCTAGTTTTTTCCCAGAGTCATACTGAAATTTAATCAACAGTCAAACGAGAAAAACATATAACAGCAATTTCCATACGTGCAAGCACACTTTGAGAATGATTGTCATTTATACAGTGGAGGAAATTAGGATCGTTTACTGTTCCCTCAGGACACCTGGCCCCTTTTCACTGTTATGATAAGTTAATTGTACACATAAATTATCGTTTCTGGTCATTTGGACAAAGTATATAACATACAGTATTAAGGTCATTTTAAGTGTAGGGAGGAAAAATAAAACCAGTACTGTTTCTGTGTAATCAAATGTACATAAAACATGTATTTACACCACCTGCCTTACTCCATTAGGTGTTCAGATCTGGAAGAGGATAAAGAGTCTAAATAAATCTTTAAATGTATTAACACAATGTATTTCCCAGCTCCCAGTAACTATAGCACAAGTAAAATACCATGCATGAGCATTTCGCCCACACGTTTATCTTGGCGAGGTAGGAAGAGCTGCATTTAGATCCTGTGACGCTAAAGCTTATGAATGAAATCAATACCATTGAAGTTCTGTAAAGATGTGGTGCTTTGTCTCCACGGGGAGACCCAGTAATGAGGAAAGCACTGTGGTCTCTTAATCACATAGACAGCTTGCATTATTTAGCTGCAACGTTGCCTTAATTATTCTTAATTTCCCTTCAGACATTATGTATTTGGTGGTTAAAGGAGCTGTATGGCTTACTTTTAATAGGTTCCCAAAAATCCCTTTAATGCTGCATTTCCACTGCATGGCACGACATGGCTCCACTTGAATCGCTCTTTTTTGGTTTCCCAGCAGCAAAAGTCGGTGGTACTTTGTTGTTACCACCTCAAGTGAGGCTCCAGATGATGCGATACCAGAAGGTGGAGTTAAAACACTGCAGACCACTGACTGGTCAGAGAAGAATCGTTACTAGAATCGTCACTTCAAGACATCCTGCACTGTAAAGACTGTAAAAAAATGGATGTTGCTACCTAATAGCTGTCGCCATCTTGGTTTTTTGGAGCTAGAGGTGACCATATTTAGGCAAGAGGCTGTGTGACGTGTCTGTGTGTAGCAAGGGCAGACAGCCTGTCACTCGAAGCGACCCACCCTTAATTATGGATAACATTAAGCCTTAATAAAAATGTAAATCAGTGAGTTATATAAAAATTCACCCCCTGTACATTTGTTGTGAACAGGAAAATTAGCTATAGAGACCAAAAAACGTTTTTTTTTTGTACCAAGCTGTAAACATGTTTGTTTCTTCTGTGATGTCGGGCATTTTAAAATGGGTGTCTATGGGGATTGAATCGCTCTTGGAGCCACCCTCAGGTGGCTTTTCAAAGAACTGCAGTTTTTGGCACTTCTGTGCTGGCTTCATTTTTCAGCCCTGGAAGCTGCCGCATGGGTTTTCCATTATCTAAATTTGTAGGTAGTAACTTGTGCCTTTTTCTGTTATCGCCTCAGTTTCAAGTAAGCTGAGTTGACAATAGACGGTGGAGTCAAAGCACTGCAGACCACTGACTGGTCAGTGAATCGTCATTTCAGGACATCCTGCACTGTAAAGAATGTAAAAATAATGGATGTAGCAATTGTAACGTCACCCATTGGTCTGCAGACTCCTGTTTTGAGGCCTCAAATTCGGCATTTCAGCCGTCACCATCGTGGTTTTTGGAGCCAGAAGTGACCATATTTGGGTGAGAGGCTGACGCTGTGGAGGAGCGAGGGGTGGATCTGACTGAAGATGAGGACACTATTGGTAGTTGGCCTTAATTATGTGTAACTTTAAGCATTAATGAAATGTTAAGTTACAAAATAAAATTCAGTTGTCATGAGGGGGAAATTAGCTATTGGGACCCAATCCGTAAACATTTCTGCTGTGAAGGGCAATTTAAAATGGGTGTCTATGCGGACTGATTCACTCTTGCAGCCAGCCTCAAGTGGTCATTAGAGGAACTGCAGTTTTTGGCACCTTTAGTAGACGATGGAGTTAAAACACTCTAGACCTCTGATTGGTCAGAGGGAATCATCACTATAATCCTAACCTGTGCAACATGGGACTTCCAGCACAAACCAAACATTTTTAGCCAAGCTACCATCATTTGCATTTTTTATTCACTCGACCCAGATTTTAAAACATGGCAGCCCGCAAAACAGTACAATGGACGCAGTGCAGTCGTTCTTCTGTTTGGATGCCAATGAAAGGATCCATGCGAGTGTCACATTAAAGATGATGTAATGACAGTTTCACGCTTTGTTGCTTTGGTAATCAGCTGAGAATCCAGGCTACATGGAGAGGATATTATCCATGTATCTATAAAGACAACTGGATACTGGGTTGGAGGCGGGGCCCTACTCATTCCTATGAAAGTTGCTCTGTGGCGCATGAACCAAGCCCATAGAGCAAGTGCACTAGAGCCCTATGCTGGTTGAGCGGCTATCGTCCTGTTTAGCCCTCTGCTAACTTGAATGCGATAAAAATACTTAGTTATACTAGTAAAATACTAGTTATTGGACCGAATTGATCAAATCCTGGTGATAAAATAATTTATTGCGTAGGGGTTGTGACACTAAAAAAATGTATACACTGATTTACAGACCTCTCTTTTGCAGTGTAAGTCTACGGGGGAAAAGGGTGTTTTTGGACCCAACGGCATCACATGACAGACGCAGAAGTTGTGATTTCACATTTGGCCACTATGTAAAACTGGCTTCAATCCCACCCCAGCCCGGTGCTGCTCTGCAGTGGAAAACAAATTAGAGAAAAAAACCTGATACCGTCAGAGAGTCAAATCGAGTCAAGCTGAACCATGCAGTGGAAACGCAGCATATGCTGAATCTGTAATAATATAAAAAGAAAAATGTTCACACAAAGTCGGTGTCTGTTAAAAGAGGCAGTTCAAGTTGCTACTGATGGTTGGTCATCTCCATTGCTGTGGTTCTTTCATCTAGGATAAACCAGTTGCTGATGACTTATACAGTCAGAATGAGGTTCAAGTTTGCCCTGGCCTCCGTAGCTGCCCCTGGACCAGTCTGGCTTACAGTATCTCCTCAGTCTATAGGCCTGATCAACATACGGACAGATTTCATAGAGTAGAAGCCTCCGCCATAGTCAGCCCAGAAGATCCCATCTTGGAATTTGCTGCGGTAGACGCCGCCAGTGTACCAGACACCGTTTAGATTGGTTTGGCCGCAGGCGTTGTACCACCAGCCTCCTTTATGGAAATGGGCACAGTTACCTGTTGAGGAAAAACAGGAAGAGTGACAATGACGCCTGTGAGAAAGTGTGAATGATTCAAAGAAACATATTTGATGTTGTCTCCAGAGAGTCTCAAAAAGTGACACAATTTTTCAAGAAAATTATTACTTTGTGTTATGCCTTTTTAAAGATAGACCCACTGGAAGCAAACTAATCATGAGTCATCACCTCTGCCACTTTGCCTTTGAGCATGTAGGGTTTATCTTTATATTCCCCAGCTTTGTATTCCCTTAATATAAGGCACACTTAATATCTGTGTTCCTAGTGATTTACAAATATTTATACATGTCTCTTGATATAAACTCACATTGTAAGAAATTGGTAAGGTTTATCTTCACAGTTGAAATTGCAAAAGCACGAAGCGAGATGGACATTTTAAATGCAATTTGAATGTAAAAATCTGTACAGGCACTGGGGATGTATCAATGTTTAAACTGTTTAAATGGTCTTGCCCAAAAATCTGAGAGTGTAGGTTGCCGAGAAAATAAAACCCTTTGAAAGGTATTAATGTGTCATATTACGAGAATACTGAGCTGGGGTACACAGATATGCTCCCAGCATGTAACACCTCCAGAAATTGGAGAATTGTTATGTCTCTTATCTCCAACATTACATATACAAACAGGTTGTGCTGTTGACACAAAGTCACACACATAATTTGTTTGCTTCCAGTGTGCCATCGCCTCTTTTTGTGCTTGATGGGATGCAAATGAATTGATCCTCAAGGCATTGTGGGATTTCAGATGACACAGGACTGATGAAGCGTTCAGTTGGCCTTCACATAAGGGTCTTTCTGCAATGCACCTGTCCCATTTCAAGAATGGGATTCTTTTGTAACACCACCTTGGCGGTGTCAGGTTTTTGACCAATGAAATAGAACTTTAAAGCTTACAGGGATAGCTCAGTTCTTTTGAAGTGGGGCTGTACAAGGTACTGTATTGCAAACAGTAAATGGCAGTCAGCATGCTTCCAGTTTGGAGAAGCAGGCTTGAGTCTGAAACAGAAGCTAAGCAATGTACTGCTGTGGACAGGTCAGCAACAGAACACATTTTAGCCTCCTAAAAAAAGTCCCACCAAAAAAGTGTATTTGGAATATTTTCCTCACTTTACCCTACCATCAGACAGCAATTTACAACAGCAAACACATGCTCTTATCTACAGTCTCTTCAATGCCAGACTCCACTGAAAAAAAAAAACAGTGATTTAACATCAGGGAATACAGGATCCGCTGGTCCATAATTGCCTCAATCAGTTAGTTTGTTTGTGTCATGGTGTGACTTTGGCATTTTAAAGGGTTAGTTCAGACTCATCAAAGTCACACAATAGCACAAACAAACTAACTAATTGAGGCAGCGGTAGACCAGCAGCCACCATGCTCAGCGTGCTTAAATTACTGTTTTTGTTAATGGAGTCTGGTGGCTTTGACAAAAGCATAGATGGGGAAGTGAAGCACTTAACGGCTTCCCTGACGGAACGGGCTGTCTGGTGTAAAGGTAGAGTGGTGAAAATATTCTTAATTTAGTTAATAATATCTTAATATACACTTAAACTGTTATGGATTTTTAAGTGGTTAAAACACATTTTACTGCTGCCCTCATCTACCGCAGTACATTGCTTAGCTTCTGTGTCTGCACTCCTGCCGCTTCTCCAAACTGGGACCGTGCAGAGAGACACCTACTGTATGTAACGTTATAATATTAAAAGAGAGGCTTGAAATTTCAATGAAACATGATGCACTCCACAGGAGACTGTATGCTTCGAGAGTGCAAAGGGACCCCGTGTTCGTCTACCTGAGAAGGCATCCTTGTCTCGATCCAGAGTTGTGAACTGTTTGCCGTTGTGGCTGCTCAGGGAGTCCCCCGCGTTCCCCTGGTAGGTTCCCAGTCGCAGACGGTAACCCTCACTCTCAGGCTCTAGATGGAAGCTGCTGTACTGAGCGTACACCTTCTTGTTCATCCAGTCCTCCAGCTCCACCAGCAGCTTGTAGTCCCCCTGCCTCCCCAGGTTGTAGATGCCTTCCAGACCGAGCCAGTATTCGCCATCTATGTTGCCAAAGCCGCTCTGAGTCAAAGGAAGATTAAAAGGAAGGTTACGGGGAGATTACAGAAAATAATGAGCATTGTTTTTTATGTGGTAGCCTGGGGAGTTTGGAAACATGAGAATTGTTTGGGAACATAAAACCCCCTTGTGGTGAGGCTTGTAACAGAACAAATGAGAATTTTCTTTTTGATGACGTTCTGGACGTGGATCTGTACTTAACTGCAGGACTTCAAAAGAAAAAAGCTGTGGCAAGAGGATGCCTCCCTGTCTTTGAAATTCCTAACAAAGCCATGTTGTAGAGTTTATGCAGGAAAATAAGCATCCATCTTCAGAATGCCGGTTCGTCACTCAAACCCCACTTGGATCACGACTAATGGCGAAACTGGCCTGGGCGCTTGTGTTGAATAACCGCGAGCAATCTACGTCTGGCCGAGTGCCTTCAGAACACTTCACTTGGTTGAGGAGGTTGAGGTTTGTGATTGTGGATTAGCTGGGTGAGCCAGCAGATGATGAATGATGTAGGGTTTCAGTCCAGGGCCTCCTCTCTGGTGCTGTGTGTGTGTGTGTGTGTGTGTGTGTGTGTACATGTGGTGGCTTTGTGGGAGAGCGCAGAGGCAAATCAATGTTGAAGAGAGCAATTTAGCTTACAGTTACACATGCACAAGCCTGGCCGGGCTCAATGGAACACTGGATCGCCGAGGCTGCCAGCAGTGATATACTCCATCTCATTCTCACAGAGCTTTGATGAGAGGGTCTATATGGTGTGGTGCAGTAAGCCAACCAGCCATCTATCCAGGAAGGCACCATAGTAGTAGCGGTTTTGGAAAGAAACGCCTGCAGATTGAGCTGTGGAACATACCTAGAGGGCCATCTAATGTTTCATAATGGGAATCTCAAACCTAAATGACCTTGGACAAATAGTGCTGCTGACGGGGCGTTATATTTCACACTAAATGAAAACACAAGGATTCTGGCCCAACAGTCCCAGAGACCCCAGATGGTCCCTCTAGATGGGTCATATAACGGCACCCCTGTTGTCTCTGGATGACCCAAATATTCAAGTTGGATAAGAAGAGAGAAAAATAAGACAAACAGGGTAGGGGAAGTGTCACACGTCATCACCTTGTAGTTATCCCAGTTCCTGAAGAAGTTGACTGATCCGTCTCTCCTGCTCTGGATAACGGTCCAGCCCCCGTTGTCGATATCCTGTTCACACCAGGCCTGCACTGGCCTCTCTGCTTCGTCTGGTCTGATCAGGTACATGCCGCTGGTGCTGTGGCCAGCTTCCTGCGCCGCGAGACAGTCCCTGAATGAGCCTGAAGGAAAGAACAACAACAGAGGGAGGCAGGTGGTGAGAAGGACGGAGAAGTGTGTGAAGAAGTCTGTAACAGCAAATAATTGTAATATCCTTAACCTAAGGTGTTTTTACAGCCACACACAGACAAAAAGAAAAAAATCTGTGTGGACAATCTATGTTTGGGCTCTTGAGGTGTTCCATTTAAACTGTGAAGTTGGAATTCCCAAGTTTCCAGTTGAAAATTTTGACTGCTGCTACCTGAAGTCTGATTTCCAACTTGGAAAATCAGAGCAACCTCACCAATCCTGAACTCAAAATCTGAGATGGCTGCTCTGCACATCTACAGTAGCGAATGCTGTTTAATGTTTATTAGCGCATCTTATTTGTGTCAACGCAACAGCCTTCTGGGCTGAAAAAGGAGGCCAACATCCATCTATCCATCTATTTTTATCTGCTTATCTGGGGCCAGGGTGTGTGGACAGCAGACTGAACAAAGCACCCAAGACGTCCCTCTCCCCAGCACGCTTTCCAGCTCCTCCTGGGGGACCCCAAGGCATTCCCAGGCCAGATGAGATATATAATCCCTCCAGCATGTTCTGGGTCCAACCCGGGGCGTCCTACCAGTGGGACGTGCCCAAACACCTCTAATGGGTGGTAAGTGCAGTTCCTTAAATGGCCACTGGAGGCTGGCTCTGAGAGCGAGTCAGCCCTCAAGGACCCCCATGTTAAAATGCCTAATTTTACAACAGAAATAAACACGTTAAACATGTTTTAATAAAATTCATTTGTTCAAATGTTATTAAATGAGGTTCTGGCAGCTTTGAGTGACAGGGTGGTGCTGTCCGTTGAGAAGGCCCCAGGGCCTCCCACCAGTTGGACATGCCCAGAACACCTCTAACGGGAGGTGCCCAAGAGGCATCCGGATCAGATGCCAGAACCACCTCAACTGACCCCTTTCGACGTGAAGGAGCAGCGGCTCTACTCCGAGCTCCCTCCAGATGTCCGAGCTCCTTACCCTATCTCTAAGGCTGAGCCCAGCCACCCACGGAGGAAACTCATTTCAGCCACTTGTACCCGCAACCTCATTCTTTCGGTCAATATGTCAAGTTCATGGCCATAGGTGAGGGTTGGGACTAGATGAACCAGTAAATTGAAAGCATCGCCTTCCGGCTCAGCTCCCTCTTCACCATGGCGGTCTGGCGAAGTGCCCGCATCACTGCAGATTCAGCACCAAACCTCAGATCAATGTCAGGCTCCATTTTACCCTCATCAGAGAACAAGAGCCCGAGATACTTGAACTCCTTCGCTTGAAGCAGTAACTCTCTCCTGAATAATTAACATGGAGCCACCGCCCTGTGGGCCCACCACCTGCAGGGTCCAGTGCATTGTGTGCTGGATGGCAGGCAGGGGCCTCGAGCATGCTGATCCCTGGCCTTGCAGACTGGTTCTGGGGACGTGGAAGTCAGTTATATCTAAAAAAGAAATAGGCTGGACAAACAATATCTATCTTATTTTGAATTTTCCTTTCCTCTGGGACTTTTTTTCCCATTATAATAAGATTTACCTACTTCCTCTCTATTACACAATTACAAAGACGTTGGAGCACCACTATTTCAATTACAGGAAGCAGGCTGGAAAAAGCCAGTGAATAATACATTTCTGCAGGATTAGCAATTTACATGGGTAAACACATGTCAAAATGTCTGATTCTGGTCTTTTGACCAAGTTTGTTGTTACTGCGTTTTGGCTTTGTCGGGCAGTTTTAGCCACATTTGGTGCCAGAGCACTAAGTTAAACAACATGGGTGCTATGAGTTTTCACAATGAGAAGGCATTGAAGTCAATGTCGACAGAGGGCTAAATAAGTAGGGAAAAACAGTAAACAAGAACAAAATCACAACAGCTGACAGAGTAATCAGAAACACATTTATCTAGGTCCACAAAGCTGTTTACTACGTCCTCCCAGAACAGCGGAGGAGTTTGGGGCAAATTAAGTCACTTTAATGAGAAATTACTTGCCTTCATTTGAGGTCGACTAACCAAAATAGACACCGTGTTAACCCACTGTATAACATCTGCCTTTTTTCAAGGTTAATTCAGCATTCTCATTACAAGATTTTTAATTAATAGCACATGTGGCAGCAAGTTTATTTGAATCCCAAGTAACCCCCTCCAAGCTACTAACACAACAATAATAATGTAAAGATATGGTCCATTCACTTCATGAAGTACACCAGAAGTGCCTCTACTTCGTGGTTTGCAGGAGCCTATCATGCCAGGCTGGGTTTTGTCTACGTCTCACACGCAATGGAACAGTCTTGTAAGGGATCGTTTTCATACACAGCTGCACAGAAATCCTACACACTTTATTATTCTTGGACGAGGGCAATCTAAATGTGTCAGGAATTTCTGTTGATGAGCGAAATCGCACTGGTTAGGCCTTTCTTTGCTTTGCTTTAAGTCCCCTGCCTCAATCGAGACCTTACAACATTTTTATTTCCATCCTGGTTTGTGTTCTTTCTGTAGAGTGGGAGAGCAGAGTTCCAGCTGAATTTGCAAATCTTTAACCTTTGGAAATGAGGCCACCGGCCCACCTGCAGCTATATTCAAAGTCAGTGATTATTATTTTGCTATGCTTGGCCTGCAAAGTCATGACTGCTTTAAATTTCACCATGACTGGTTTGGATTTTTGTGACTGAATCTATGAATGAATACTAATTGATCATAATAAGAATAATTTATGGATGGATAGACCTCTCAATAACTCATTTCCTCACTCACTCACCTTCAGCACTGAAGTTTCTTTGTGGAACGTCCAGGGTGCCGCTAGTGGGTGATGGCCCAGAGCGTGAGCCCCTTTCTCGGGCAAAGCCTCGGGTGTTGTCCCTCTGAATCTCATTGGTGAAACGAGGCACATTAACAGGAATGTTCTCAGGCACCACCTGCACAAGTGGAGGTCCAATGGGTGGCTGGTCATGCCTGCGGCTGTACACCTGCATACAACGCTCCTCCAGTGCTCCAATCAGCACTGACTGGTTGTTCACCACTGCAGACAGAGCTGCATATTTGGCCTCCAGTTCCCTGTACCGGGAAGCCAGGCGCAGAGACTCTGTAGTGGCGTTGAGGATGCGTGTCTCCAGCTGTGCCAGCTCCAGTGAGTTATCCCTCTTCCTGATGATCTCGTGCAGCAGCTGCATGTAGAGCTGGGTCACTCTGGAGTTCATGTTCCTGCTCTCTTTCCTCAGCAGCTTCATCTCATTCACCAAGTTGCCGTCCACATCCACCACCAACTTCAAAGTCTCCACCTCCCTACGCTGCTTTGACAGAAGGTCACGCACTGCAGCCACATCCAGGCGTGTCACTCGGTCCTTGTCAGTCGAGTACCCGCGGGCGGCACAGATGGGTCCTGTGATCTTCTGCTCAGGGACCAGGAAGGTGTAGGAGCACTTCTTGCTTTCTCCGCTGGCCTCTGGGGCCCTTCGTATCCGGTTGAGGATGGGGTGCTTTGTGAGGGCTTGGCTGTTGCTCCAGAAAGACAGACCAAATAGAATAAATACGCTCCATGTTCCAGGTCCCATGGTTCCTCCTCTCTTTATCACCAAACAAGCTAAAGATCTATGAAAGAGAGAGAAATGCAGACCATTTTACTGGAAAAGGTTGGTGCTATTTTATGTTACATTTATTATCAATAAAGCCCATATAAAACCAACAATGTACTTCTCGATACTTTCTAACTTCTCTACCCTGCCTTTGACACTAAACCCCCCAAGTCCACTGGTTCTGACTGAAGATGTGAGTCTTTAAAACACAAATTATAGTTTCATTTTAGCCATGTTGGGAGGATGGCAACGACGAATGGATGTTAGTAGGTCCACAACTTGTCTCCAGAGTAAAATATGTCAACACCTACATATATCTATAAACTTTTGCACACAAATTTATGTCCCTCATTGGTACAGGATACACCACCAAAACAGATTTTGACCAACAGCTGACTGTCTGCTTGGTGTGTCAAGGCCCCGTACAATGAACTATGATGACTTTGGTTATCCCCAGACATTTCATCTAGTGCATTGTCAAGTCAATATTAAACTATTTATGCATTTTCGGTAGCCATTTATCCTGTTAGGTTTCGTGGGGGGCTGGAGCCTATCCCAGCAGACATTGGGCGAGAGGCAGGGTACACCCTTGACAGGTCACCAGACTATCACAGGGCTGACACATAGAGACAGACAACCATTCACACTTACATTCACACCTACAGCCAATTTAGAGTCACCAATTAACTTGCATGTCTTTGGACTGTGGGAGGAAGCCGGGGTACCCCGAGTTTGATCCCCCAGCCAAGGTTCGAACCAGGAACCCTCTTGCTGTGAGGCAACAATGCTACCCACTGTACCACTATGCCACCACAAAACTTATTCAAGAAATACTCAATACAGTAACAGAATCTTGGTTTATATTTGATCAGCACTGCCTAGTTTTACAGTTTGATCTGAGTTTGAGAGAAACAGAGAGACAGGGATGGCCTCTCTCACAATCTGCTTCTTTGCTCTTTGTGTCCGTGATGGCAGCGGGCATACAAAAATCAGGGCTATTCAAAGGAGGCAGGGACACTCTGTTTGACCCCATGAGAGCTATGGGGTATGACACGTGCACAATATAACTGGAACTGCGACGTTGAAGGGTTACAGCAGACAATGCTAGAAATAAAGAGATGGTGTCTGCTCAGGTGTCCCTTTGTCTTTTTTTATTCTCCGTGCGTGCACTGGCTTTGACAGAACGTTTTGGGTACGACTAAATGGATGGCAGCTGATACAATATAACATTTTCATCTAGACAGCATCTATTTTTCGGCTTTTATTGATGACTTTTTCAGTAATCACAGAATTGTAATTCTCACTCATATCTTTTTGAATATATTTCGGACTGAAGATGCCTCAGTGAAACGAATCAAACATCCTCATGTTCTAAGACGGTGTGCCAGCTACTGAGGCTTTCGGAAAGTGCAGAACAGATTTTACTGCATGGGTTGTACCCCAATGATATGTCCTCTTTTTAACCTCCTTAACAAAAATGTTGAAGTACAATCTGTAGTCCAAGCAACAGCCCAACAATGAAAATTTTAGCTGACAAATGAGCAGGGAGATCTGGGCTCTGGCAAGATAGAAAGAAATTTAACACGGTTCATTTACAAATACTACCCGCATTCTTAAGATACGGAGCTGGTTTAAATTTGTCTTTTTTAAAACAACACATTCTCACTCCAACCTCGTCACATATCAGCGTTTGGTCATGGACTTTCCACGTCCAGATACGACGTGAAAGGTACCCTGGGTGTGTTGGTTGTTGATGTTCTGGAACACAATGTCAAGTTACATGCATTGTCTTATTTCAAAATACACTTCAGTTTTTACAAGAAATTTACCGTTTACATACTGTCTCTTTCAGAATAAAGGAACTACGTCAGTACAACACCGCACACAACTAACGCACATGGTTAGGTTTAAGCAACAACAAAAACCCTCTGACACCACCAAGCACTGTTGAACTATAAAGGCGACCAGCCGCTTATAATGCCAATATTAAAGGATGGCATTCTTCATCAGTGTCTGACACAGCAAATCACTGGCCAAGCGCTGGATTTCGATGACTTCGGAGTGAGACCGGGTTGTTAAAAAAATCTAAGCACACTAATTCCCCCAATACAGCTGGGCACTGTAGTTTTTAGCAAATGTGACTCAAAGAGAGGCAAGTTGTTGAGGACTACTTTCAGCCACAGAATAATAAAAATGTGATGGGTTTAGGAGTGCTGACAACATTATAACAGAATTGATTCCAAATAAACAGCAGTGTCCATGTTCATTGTAATAAAGGAAGATGTCATTTAGTGCAATGGTTGTGGCTCGCTCATGTTTTTTTTCAGTAGTTTTTGGACAACAGTGGAGGTATGGCACCGGGGATTATGCTCTGTCAAGCTTTGGCTGTATGAGTGATAAATTCATTGTTGGCTGTAGTCTTTTAATGGGATTTTTCGGCCATTAGAAAAATACAGAATGTCATCTTGGTCCAAGTTTTCACAACAATGTGTCCTCTTGGTTACCACTCATTTTGTACTTTTGTACAATTTCCCACCAGGTGTTTTCTTTTCTCCTCTAATCCTAAATAATTCAGCACACTGTGCATCTCTTGGCATGATACCGGAGGGAGCTTCCAATTCAGAGTCTTGCTTAATTATGAATTAAGTGAGCATTAAAATGTAAAGTGGAAACGTGCAGACTGGCAGGAACACAGCTGGTTTCACGTATCAGCTCAGTCCTGCCCTTGGCAGAGTTTGCCTTCTGGTACTCTTGTGGTGGAGTAAGAGCAGTGCCACCCACCTACCACAAATCTGTTATCGTAACTCGGATTTTCAATGCATTCCCTTACAGGTTCTCTTTCATTACGGCCCTTACCACATCTGTATCAGGTGTCTGGGTGTGGGCAAGTGCTGGGATCTGTTTTTCATATTTCTGTAGCTCTCCAGGCTCAGACCCTTCATGCACCTCCCCTATAGTCTTTCAGCGTACCTGCACCAGCTTATGTTCAGAGTTAGCATGTTAAAAACCTCGCAATCTGACAACAGATGTGACTGAGAGTGAATATATTTGGTAGAAAATTGAGATAATGTGGCCATGGATGACAGTGAATATATCACTTTAACGAGATAGCGCTCACTGCCAGTATTCATGAGGTGCAGAACTGCGTGTATCTGTAATGAGAAAAATGCTAGAAGTCAGCAGGTGGTAGTGATTTGACCTCACTGACTCATTTTAACCTCCGCCATTTCTGCCTGGCTGTACAAAGAGATAAATTAGAATTTGGTGAGGAATAAAAGAACTGGATGTGTTTGAGGAGCAGCAGAGGGAGCAGGAATCCCTGATTTATGAGTAATGTTTTCTGGAGTCTATTTTTGGATGGAAAGCTTGTGTTTTGATCATATTGGTTTTGACAGCACGACGAATGGAGCAGGGGAGGGTGATGTTCAAAAAATGCATGCTAAGTGAAAGATCCCTCCCTCCCTATTCAATAGCAAGGCTTGGCTCTGGAAGTGGAGCCAATGGTGAGCCAACTTCGTGTTGATTTAGGGCCAAATCCAACCAGAAGGCAGTCTGATGGATATGGCAAAGGAGGTTAAGTAACTTTCATCCAACACCTCTGACAGGCACACACCCGCTTCATATCGGCGCTCATCAAAACAAATCTGCTGAGGATTTTAACAGATGCCAAAGAAGCGGAATTAGATGAGTCCAATGCAGAGACAGCAGGGGCTTTGAATCATTTCTGTGGTCGCCGCTTGATGTTTAGTTGCACTGAAGAGTCCTGACCACAGTTAATGGGACAGATCCCAGAGCATTACCTAAGCTCAAACTGCTGCGGTAGCAGAATAGTATCCTTTTATCATTGTCAAAGGAAAAAACATAACAGCAAGTTTTGTTTTGTATGTTTTCATAAAGCACAATGACTTATTGAGAGAAAGAACAGCCCAGTAGCCACAGGAAAATGTTGGCATTTCTACAAAGCATGGATACATTAAGCTACTACATTTCACAGGCATCATATCAACGTCTCGAAGGTAATGTAGTATATGAGTTCATTTTGACTTTCAGACGGTGGAGGGGATAGTTAATGGCGTGACACCTAAGCGATATGTCTGCCAAGCTGCAGACCACTGTTTAAGAACAACAAACTGTTCTTAACTGGTTGTTATTTAGTGAATCATGGCCATGTTTCCAGCAGCTTTTTGGCCACCAAACATCGGTGTTTTTTCACCGCCCATTGCTGTGTTTCCTGCTGGGATAGTGCCACGAAAACTGGTTGTTTATTAGTGAGACATATCTGCTTATTTAGCCAGGACAGTGCCACAAAAAGCAGTTGTTTGTCTACCGAGACATCGCTGCCTTTTCACCTGGGATAGTGCCATGATAAGCGGTTGCTCTTTAGAGAGACAGTGCTGTGTTTCCAGCCAGAATAGTACCACGATAAGTGGTTGGTGTTTTTTCTAAGATATCGCTGCATTTCCACCTGGGATAGTGCCATGAAAAGCAATTGTTTTTTTTCTGAGACATCGCTGCATTTCCTGACAGAATAGTGCGTCAAAAAGCGATTGATTTTTACCGAAACTTTGCTGCATTTCCCGCCGGGATAGTGCCACGATAAGTGGTTGTTCTTTGGTGAGACATTGCTGTGTTTCCTGTCTGAATAGTGCCTCAAAAGGCGGTTGTTTGTTAGCGAGAAATTTCTGTGTTCAGGACAGTGTCACAAAGATTGGCTGTTTTTTATTGAGACATTGCTGAGATAGAGCCACAGTAAGTGGTTGCACTTTAGCAAGACATTGTTGTGTTTCAAGCCAGGGTAGTGCCACAAAAAGCAATTGTTTTTTACCGAGACATGGCCGCGTTTCCTGCCAAAATAGTGCCACAATAAGCGATTGTTCTGTAGCGAGGCATCACTGCATTTCCCATCAGGACAATACCACAAAAATCAGTTGTTTTTTAATCAAGATATGGCTGCATTTCCTATCAGGATAATTCCACAAAAACTGGTTGTTTTTTACCAAGACATTACTGTATTTCTTGCCAGGATCATGCCACCAAAACCAAGCCAAAACCTAACTGTAACCAAGTGTTTTTATTGCCTAAAACTAACTACACATTAACCACAGCATTGTTAAAGCATAAAGAAATGTCAAGATTCAATATCTACATAATAATGTACAAATGTAACATATCTGTGGTTTGCAGACACTGAAAATGCCAACATGTATTCTGGCGACTAGGATGGAAAGAAAGTGTCTGAGCCAACATTAATTTTTAATAGCTTAACATTTCAGCAACATAACAAAATGCCCTGAAGTCTGTACTTCAGCTTTAACATATGGAATAACCCAAAGTTTGTTTTGTCATAGATTATAAACCATCTGAGGGCAAAGAAAAAGACACTTTAAGGAAAACGGGCCATGTGTCAGGGCTCAGAAACACCTTGGCACTGTCAGTCGGTTATTATTACCCGGGGAGTACTTTTTCCTGTCTTTCCGTAATCACAGGTCATCCCCTTCAATAGCTCTGTCTCAGCAATTGGCCCGTCTGCACGTCTCCAACTCCACAATATGAATCTCTCAGGCCTCGGCCTGACAGGAGTGACAGTGTTTACACAGAGGCTCCTCGGCCAGGGCTGTGAATCTCATCGGCAGTTACTTATTACCACCAGGTCTCTCTCTGTCGTTCACACCCTGCTGGTCTTCATCAAGTCGGCCGCAGCAGTCATGCTTTTTTGTTGACTTATTAAAGGGGATTTTCTCCAGCTCCTCACTCAGAACCAGACCTGACCAGATCCAGCCAACTCATCTATATTAATGCAAGCTTTGCAACCAGACGGGTCAAACTTTGCGGTGGCTGGTTTTCCCACCCCAGAGGAGCATGAGGGCACTGCCAATCGGCCCACTAAGTGGTAGCACTGAGCTCTGACTGTCCTCTGGTGAGCTTCCCCAATTCAAAGATTTTATCATACGTTAAAGCCCTTAAAAAAGCCCCCGCATTTGCATCCCCTTGTTTCTCTCCAACTTTATTTCAACACACAGAGTGGATATACTACACGTCACAAAGTTTTCCAGTCTGACTTTGTTGTGGCTTTTGCTCTGGGCTCGCAGATTTTAAGGACTGTGCCAATTAGCCCACAACTTATTCTGATGGTGCCGCAGATTAGGTCCGTCTGCTGAGGGGACGACATGATGCATGGGATTTGTACTGCACATTGTGAATATGATCATACGGGCTTACACCACATATGAATATGAAATTCAAAAATGAATATAAATGATTTAAAAACGCAAATAATGACATTCATTTCAGCATTTTACAGTCACTCACAGTTCTTCAGCAGTAGTCGTGGATGTCTAAAGGATCCAGCTTCCATCTTAAATTTTACTGTTCTACATATTAACGTTATTTTTATGATTAAATTGCAAATTTTCTTTGGTAGTGATGACTGGGGAATCTAAAATTTCAGCAATTTGATAACTTTTCCAAAGCTTATAAAAGCACAACTGAAAAAATAAAATCTTACCTGTGTCAGTGAGTTCAGTCAGCCGTCCAGGAGGTGCAGGGAAGACCCAGGTTGGTGTCTCAGTTGTGTTTCCTACACAGGTTCATGCTCTCCATTCTCCTCCTCTCACTCTCCCTCTGCCTTTGCTCTCATTGAGAATAAAGGCCTGCACGCAGCTATGGCCCAAGCAAACACCGTCTGCTAGGAGAACAGTAGAGGGTGGTCCATACTCAGAAAGAGGGAGGCTGATGGTGTGATTTCTCTCTGTAGTTTGAGCAGAGAGGGCAGGCTTGGCCCTGCCCTCCTCCTCTGATGTCGCATAAAGTTTGGGAAGAACAGAAAGACTCCTCCTGATATAAGGTTTCACCACAAATGAAACACTAAGCGATGAATCAGATTGACTCTGAGTCAGCAAGAGTGGTGAAGACACTCAAAATCAGTCTAGCTGTCATCATGTAATTTTCAGAAGGTCTTGTTTACATGGTCATATTGTCTCTCACGCAGGCTATTTGTCTGTCAGGCTGGTTGACGTCACACATAAACTCACTTTTTCTTTCTGTCACACACACATCTATCAGCTTCATTCATGTAACTACAGCTTCTCAAAGCTTACCAGCTCCTCATAAAGCTGTTTCCAATCAGCTCTAATCTAATGACTGAGTGATTCTGGCGATCCAGTAGCTTTAGCATGTTAAATAGAGAGGTCTGTTTTTGGATGTGAGCGTTTCTCTTGTGTTTGTTCCCTATATGGGATGCCTCTTGTGGCAATCCAAGTGCTATTGGCAGCTGTGTTTATTTGGTTATGAGGACAATACGCAGAGGGCTTTGCAGACAAAAGAGAACGCCCCTCAGCTAAATGTTTTGGATTGAGGAGGAAGCGCAGGCTTTGATGCATGGGGATCCTCTGTGTGGGGTGACATACTTCGGCGTGTGGGAGGACACATTTGCTCATGAGCAGTCAACGCAGGACATTCATAATATAGGAGTGTGTGTGTGTGTGTGTGTGTGGGTGCTTGCGTGTGACCCATACATGTATGAGAACATATGTCTGCGTGATTGAGAGTCTCCATGGTGGTCGGCTGTATATATTAGAGGTCGTCCAATTTAAATAAATTATATATATGGGAGAACGTGTGTGTGTGTGTGTGTGTGTGTGTGTGTGTGTGTGTGTGTGTGTGTGACAGAAGCTAAACAAAATACATTTTGAGCTAATTCAACCCATGCCTGAAAACCTTATCTGCACCACATTTACTCGCTCTTTGGTAGTCTGGATCAGTGTTTCCCAACCTGGGGGTCAGGCCCACCTAAGGAGTCCCAAGATAAATCTGAGGGTCCCAAAGGGGATGAAAGGGTACAAAGAAGAATCTGTCTTTGGCGGAAATGTTCATAATTCATGTACACACTAGGGATAGAGAGGCAAAGTCCCTTCGTTTCAGGCCTCCCCCACTGGACCTTATTATGGGGAAAATATATACAGTAGCCAAAGACGGGAGACAAATATCTTTTTGACATTGCTGCTTTTCCTGCTGGGATAGCGGTTGTTCTTTCGAGAGACAATGGTGCGTTTCCAGCAAGGATAGTACCACGATAAGCAATGTTTAGCAAGACATCACTGTGTTTCCTGTCGGGATAGTGCCATGAATTGCCATTTTTTAAACTAAGACATATTTTTTTAATCTCATCTGAATTATGCTATGAATTACACATATGATTTTTTGCAGTTATTCATAGGTTTGTCATAGTACCATTTAGTTTTGCGTAAAACAGCTCAGCAAATTTAATCTTTCATCGTGTACAATATGTACTGGTGCAGGAATGAGTCCTAAACCCTGGATATTAATTAGCATTTTAGCACTCCCAGTTAATTGTCTTGAAGTTAATAGGTTTTCAGTTAAATGTCTGATGTAAGTAAGGAAGGAAGTCAGTAAAATTTATTTATATAGCGCTTTTCACAGACATAGGTCACAAAGTGCTTCACAATGGCAATATACAACAAGAAAGAAATCACAGAGACAAAGTGTCATGAAAACTGCACAACTAGCAAAACTATCTGCACACACATAAGAAAAAAGAAGAATTCACACTACACAACAACAATACACAAAAGCTCTGGTGCAGACAAGTTACCCAAACACCTGTCCAAACAGGTGTGTCTTTAGCTGGCTTTTAAAAGAAACCACAGAGTCAGCGGATCATAAGGAGCAGGCAGAGTTTTCCAAAATTTAGGCGCTACAGCTGCAAAAGCTCAATCATCACGTGTCTTAAGGCGAGTGTGAGGGACAGACAACAAATTAAGTGCATTTGATTTGTGTTACACCATAAAACAGGCTACGTAAGTAAATACCTCACTTGTAAATTTTAAGTGGTTTTTGTCTTAAAAAAGACGGTTGCTAACAAGTGGCTAAATGAAACCAAAGAATGCATCACGGTGAACACGGTTTTACAGCCTCGTTGTCGAGGATGATGTTGAAGTCATGTGACTGTGGTGTAGTTTCTTTATAGCCTAACGTTAGCTTGTGGCTAAATTTAAATTTGTGTTTTTTACTTGTAAATATTAGCATGCTGAACAAAACATGCAGCACAAACTTTGCTACAGAGCTTTATCTGCAATAATCCAAAATCCAATGGAACAGTCCCAGGTGGTCCACCTGAAGGGGCCTCTGTGTCTCTCTCTCTCGTAGACACGTTGCTGAAATGCTGATTGTGTCTTTCAAAAACAACTTTAAACAGGACTATGCTCTGTTTGTGCCCAAATGTCACATGAGGGCCTATGTCCACATTTTTTCAATTCTTCTCAATGAGGAGCGAGAGTTTGCTGCTGCCTGGAGAAAAAGCGCTGCATCCGGTGTTTTTTGGTCTATCAATTGAGTCATCAGCTGATTCCCAATCAACCAATAGCACAGCGACACACCTTCTCTGTCAGCCTGTCATCTTACTGCTCCTCATTTTAAATATGGTTCTTTCTCTGCCGTAGTTCTTTCTTGCTTAAGTCATGCGCGCTCTCCACCTTCCCATCACCACCTATTCTTCACGGATTCATCAGCCTCATATGCCTCAGCAGCCTCAGACTCAGCAGCCACCACCACCTGTGTCTGGACTCCATGAGAGGATTTATCCTGCAGCTGCTCAGATGTCCCGCCAAAAACTTCTGTTAAATCTTAATCAGCACAAATCATCTGTTCATCTGTACACTCATATTCTGTGTTAAATACAATCTTTACTTCATTCTTCTGTCTCTCCTGACTGAAATGTTAGTGTTCAGATATTATTGCCACAGGCACCACCAGTGATTTTTTTAGCGATGTGCTGGGAGGAAGTGCTCCCCAGTGCCCTGCCAACGCTTTCCTGCAGAAGTGGACACAGGCCCTTAGATGAATATTTCAACAAGGCTTGGTCCTTCTCCACCTCATATCAGTGTACACAGATGAGAAGCCCATCTTTTCATTTTTGCCCCTGCCCCTAGAAAGTCAGTTCAGGTCACTGGTGGTAGCTGTTTCTTTTTTCATGTACAGAATGAAGTCAGGGCCTTTGTATTCAGGGAATAGTTGTTTAGTATCAAAAATCCACATTTCACCATAACTAACACAAGCTGTTAAAGTTAAAATATCCCTCCCTCCCTCCCTCCCTCTCTCCCTCACTCTCAGCCCCTCCTTGTGGCTAAATGAGTTTATTACCACCTTCACCTCCACAGCTGCTGTATGGCCCTTGCTTAATCCTAAAAAGTGTACCTGTAAGCAGTGGTGGAAGAAGTATTTAGATCCTAATGTTGATGTCAGTGTTGCATTCTACTGCTGTAAGTAGTTAAATCTACATAAGCACATGCATTATATTCTATAAATATTTGTAGGCTCAATGTCCTGAGAGACATACGTCTTTGAGAAGTCAACTTTTATGAGCTGAGAAAAACAGCCCTGTTTTCAGCTTTGTGACAATGCTTTTTCCAGCTGATCCAAGAGGGTTTTCAATAGTTTATTTAATCTAAAGGAGGAGGAGGAGAACTTCCTCAGCCCACAAAAGAGACACTTAATCCTTCAGTTTATCTGAAAAAAATCAAATTAAAAATCACCAAATTTGGAGATAGGCTGCATTGTTTTTACTGGACAGGAAGGAGATGAAAAGTTTCAGTCTAAAACTGAAGCTGGTAGACAAAGGCAGAGGAGTAAAAAGTAGAAAAATTGCTTCTGAGATGTAGTGGGGTAGAAATATAACATTGCATACAATGGAAATACTCAAGTGAAGTACAAATGCCTTGAATTTGTACTGAAGCACAGAACTTGAGTCAGTGTACCTAGCTACATTTCTCCACTTCCTATAGATGTGCAAAGACATACAGAAGATACTAGATGGACAGTGTTGAGGAAATGTATTAAATGTGAAAGTATTTGCATGTAACCATGTATCATTGGCCTTAGAGTCCTTTACTGTCTGCATGCAGGCATGTGATGACGCTCCACTGTGTCTGAAGGTTAAGACACAGTAAAATGAGGACCTTGTAGTTTAGACTCCAATGTTAAACAGACTCGACCAAGGGTGATTGACCAAGTGTACATTTTTCCACCTTGGATAGATAGACAGTTTTTCTTCATTGAACATTGTGAACAGAGACATTCAGCAGGTAAAAAGGTAGATATCAATCATTCATTTTCCGTAACCGCTTGTCCTCTTGAGGGTCGTGGGAGCCTATCCCAGCTGACATTGGGTGAGAGGCAGGGGCAGGGTACACCCTGGACAGGTCACCAGACTATCACAGGGCTGACACATAGAGACAGACAACCATTCACACTCACATTCACACCTATGGCCAATTTAGAGTCACCAATTAACCTGCGTGTCTTTGGACTGTGGGAGTACCTGAAGAAAACCCACACTGACACGGGGAGAACATGCAAACTCTGCACAGAAGAGCTCCCTCCTGGGTTCAAACCAGGAACCCTCTTGCTGTGAGGCGACAGTGCCAACCACTGCACCACCATGCCGCCCACATATCATTAAGATGAAATATAAAAAAGTAAATAATTTAAATAAAAAATAAAGTCTAAACATAATACATAAACAATAACATCACTAAAGTCAATATAAACCATAATCAGGGGCTACAGAAAAATAGTTCTTTAAAATATAACAATGTACGTTCACTATTTTGTTTATCCTAAGGCAGGGGTCGGCAACCTGTGCCTCTGGAGCCAAAATTAAATATTGTACATTTTACTTC